TATGAATAAGTAAATGAATATTGTGTAATAAAGAATCGGGTCAGTCTTTATCCCCAGTTCCTGGCAGGTAACCTCTAAACCCTTGATATTTCCCAAGTGACTGGAGTGTCTGTTATTCATGGTGGGTCTCGTAGAGTACATCTGATAGTTTATGCGAATGAGATTAATCACTTGATAGTTTATACCAATGAGGTGACTCAGAATGGGACGAAGGGTTCCCATGCCAGGAAGACCAACTATGTGATCAGATGGCTGGCACTTTGAGTCCTGTAATACTAGGCCACCCTCTCAGGAGTTCAACCGTGTGGGCAATGATGCAACCAGTGACACCTACGTAGTAAAGTCCCATGAAAACTGGGCATCAGAACTTGGGTGAACTCCCTGGTCAGCAACACTCTGCACACTGTCCCACATCAATGAGCCAGGAAGGCACTGGCTCCCTGAGGACGGCAGAAGCTTCCCACCTGGAACTTCCCAGATCGTGCTGTATGCATCTCTTCCTTTTGCTGGTTCTGATTTGTACCCTTTGCTATAATAAAGCCAGAATTGTAAGTACAGCACTTCCCTGAATTCCGTAGGTCATCCTGGTGAACAATCAGATCTAAGAGTAGTCATGGGAAACCTTGAACTTGTAGCCAGCTGGTCAGGAGTGAGGGTGGCCCAAGCTTATAACTAGTATCTGAAGTGAGGCCAGTCGTGTGAGGGACTGAGCCCTTAGCCTCAGCTATCTCTGGGTGAACATACATTTTGGTGACTGCTGAACATCTTTTAGTTGCTGTGAGTATTGGTTCAAAAAAAGTTTGGAAACCACAGAGAAAACCACTCAGGCCTCTCTTCCCTCACCTGCCACCCACTGGTTGTTGCTTTCAGTAAGCTTTGGGAAGGAAAAGCATTCTAAAAACCTTTTTGGTATTTATAAACCAAAATTAGGTCATAGGAACACAATACACTTTGATGAGAACTGCGAGTGAAGACTGCATGCTGTGGGCACAGGCACCGTGGCACTGGTTGGGCTGCATGCAGTTCATGGTTCTTGCTCTTGCTTTGGAAATGGGTGGCACAGAAAGTGAAACACATGTGACATTACTGAATGGGTTTTGTCTAAATTTAATGGAACCACACATCCTACGCCATGACCTAGCTTGTTGGGAGACAAAATATAACCCTCCCCTGACAAATGTGCAGTTTTCGAATTTTCTCTTTTGAATAGTGTTCTTTAGTGTCTATTTATCTATTTGGAAGTGGGTGTACAGGGGGTGAGGTTTACAACTATAATTAGGGTAATTACCTTAACGAATTGAACTGCAACGATACGTGACAAAGTCCACCCAGTGGTAACGGAGCAAATGGGGCTCAGTCCTTCCACCAGCATAAAGGCCCTACACTAGACAAACGGTGTCTCGGGGTAGAAATATCAGAGGCCAGGTGGGGACCTGGGGACCAATGCGGACCTGGGGACCTGGCCTTTCCCTCACTTCACAGAGCAGCGGCTGAACGCGTATTCCCTCGCTGACAGGGCAGTTATAATGTGGGACAAGAGCCTGTGCCGGGGAACCAACCAAACAGTCACTGAGGGGACAAAGCAGACTGGATGGAGATCACGTGGATGACACCTGTAGACACCAACAAGGGTCAAGCAAGCCCCAGGCGTGCTGGTTCATTTCCAAAGCCCAGTCTCTGTTTTCTAAATGGGACCATCATCATCCCACAGATTTGCTTTAAACAACCACCACCCACAACCCACCCTGAAGCCAAGCTGAGCGCCCGGATGTGAAAATGAGCTCTTATCAGTCTCCCTCCCGGAGGGTTGATGTGACAGGTGTAACTGCTGTCCCTCAAGACAAATCTCCCCAGAGACAGGCAACTACTTTAGAAGAAAAGGTCTATTAAAATAGATGGAAACCCAGGGAACCCTGTGAGAAAATGCTGGTATTTGCAATAAATACTGTGGCACGAAACTGCACAGATGAAGTCTATTCAGAGAGCAGGCAAAATGGAACAAATAGCAAACATGTTTACAAAGTGCCTTTTATCGAGAGCCAGGTCTGGCACTGATCCTCACATTCCCCCCACGGCCTCACTGAGGTCAGGCGGCCAGGGGAACGCAGATTCCCGCCTCTGCTTCAGCGTCAACACTTATGGACAGTGATTCCTGCCCCCAAGCACAAAGTCAGGCAGGACGAGACCTCTAGCCCCTCACCTTCCCCTCTGGACAGTCTGCATGTGAACCTCTGACACCTGCTTCCCACTCAGTCTTCACACCATGTGCTACTTCCGGGATCACCAAAGGAAAATCTCTATGACTTGGGTTTATATGTGGAGAAGACAGTGAAGGGAATGGGCTGTGTTCTGGTTTCTATTTTGGTTTTTTGAAAGGAGCTGTGAATCAGGAGCCATGTATCTTCTAAGTGCAAACATGAGTTTGGGCTGGGTCATCTGTACAGGGACAGTGTTTTATACCCGGGTCAGGGCAGCAGTGAGAACTGTCGTCACTCAGATCCTGGGACAGGAGAGACTCCTCGATGCCCAGCTTGGGCGGGAACCTCGGGGTCACATGTCTGTGCTCCGATCCATCACCGCCCCCTCCAAGCTGTGGCAGAGTCAGAATGTGCAGCTGGGAGGACCCGTGGCTGAGAAGAGGAAACCCCGGAAAAGGCTCAGTGAATGCCCGTCCCATCTCGGTGTCACCATCAGCCTCAAGTCCTTCCACATTTAACACAAGGACACCTGAGTTCAAGATCACTACATACTTCTGGAGAAAAAAGAGAAAGCTTGAAGGTAAGAATATTTGAGGTGAAATTTCTTCCTCATTGTGGCTCCCTGACGTCACAGAAGTGAATTATTTGAAACTGGTGCGGAGAAGGGGCCAGAATTTTATCCGTAGCACGGTGGTTTTAAAAAAATACCCATCTACCCACCCGACTTCCTGCCTTAAAACAACCATTGTATTTATAGTTCTGCACTGTGTCATGAAAAGCAGAGTGTAATAAATACGGTGGGGGCACGAGAGCACTGACCTTCTCCTGAGCAAACGTAGCAGCTGGGTCCCCCTTAGATCAGAAACATGATTAAGGTCAGGAAGCGAAGGTGCCGAGTCAGGTTTAAATGCAGTGCAGTGAGGGGACGTGAGTCCTGGTGCTGGACGTTCAGAGATCGGACCCCAAATTCCATATCCTGGGGGTCAGGCTCCCACTGAGGGGGAGGTATGTGTGGGGGAGGGGGCGTGGTGTCCCCTCTGATGCGGGACTCAGGCACTGGCCCCGAGCCTCTGGCCCACTCGGAGTTGATGAACTCGCGGCACCCTCCATGTGTCCTCGGGGGTCGTGTAATTTTCATTGAAAAAGTTACTCAGGGCAAGAGTACGGTGTAGACAGCATTGGGACCCTGGCGCGTGGAACCTGCTTCACAAACACGTCCTGCCCTGGAGCCCTGGGTCTCAACACTTCCGGAGAACAAAAACGAGCCTTTTGCGTGGCAATACATGAGCCCGAGCCCTGAGAGAGAATTAACCACACACCACCACACTGTTAACTGAACAAACGAATGTTACTTTTATCATAAACTAAGTTCCCATATAGATTTGTGTCTATATCTGGACTATTTCAGTCCATTTGGTACCACACCTGTTGGTATTTAATTGGAATTGTTTTCAGTTTATGAAGTAATTGGAGAGGAACTGGAATTTTTACAATATTTATAAAGTCCACTAAAAAGAAGGGTACTTAAGTTTCCTCTTAAGTCCCTCAGTGGAAGATAATTACTTTTCCATATATGTCCCAAGCTTGTCTTTTTCAGCTTATAGCTATGTGTTTCCCTTTTGCGTTATTACTGTCAGTGATATTGTTGTTTACATCATGTGAGTGTGTGTGTGTAAATAGGAAAGATGTAGGCACTTTCTCAAATGAACAACTTAAATTTAAAGAAACAATCTAGAGCAAATTAAAGCTTTGAACAGCCTCTGACCTTGCTGAGCTGATGCACATGTAGGAATATCATTTGGTAACACTGCACATAAACAGAAAAGTGAAAGAACGTGGCGTATTTCCCCTTGTGCTGCTGTTTCCTTACCTAAGACGAGCTGTGGCTGCAGCTGTTACAACAAGGTGTCTGTCCAGTCCTGCCCCCCCCCCCAGGAGGAGCTCCATTTCCCTCCTAACACCCCATGAAGCTCAGCTAAACTCTGGCTCTTTCCATAGAGAACCAGCCCTGCTCAGCCTGCTGGCTGATTTATGAGCACAGCCACCACTGCCCAGTGTCACCTCCCAGGAGTTGGTGAAGCAGGTGAGGAAGCCACAGGCGTGGCTCTAAGGCCCCCTTGCAAACCACACTCACCGTGCACAGAGGGGTTTTGGACAGTGTGACGTAGCCATGAGTCAGAAACGGCTCTAGTTTTATCTTTCCCTTAGTCCCAGTCCTTTGAAATCTTTGAATTTAAAGAAAAACTGAAACAACTTCACAAATCTAGACAGGGGATCAGCAAACTTTCACTGTAAACAGCCTGAGGAAAACGTGTAGGTTCCGTGGCCCCACAGCGTCTGGGGCGGCTTCTCTGCTGTGGTCGTGTGAATCCCTCCCAGACAGAAACACGTGAGCCTGGCTGTGCTCCAACAAGGCTGCACCCACAAAGGAAGGGGTGGGCCAGGTTGGGTTCACAGGCCGGACCAGGCCGGTGGCTCTGCTTGCAGATCCCCATGTCAGACCAGCAAACCTCCCAGCCATTCACCATGTTTTGAAAAATCAGAAATGATGGACTGGTCCCCACCAAGCTGAGGAGGACGGGACGCCAAGCACTAAATGAACAACATGTAGAAAAATCACCAGCATCATTTCTGATCGACCCTAAACTCGATGCTGAGCTTTGCTGGTGTTCAGCTGCAATGAAGAACAAGTGGAATCGGAGTGTAAGAAACACACGGCACCTTGAGGCGGGGTCACAGCTCCGAGGAGGAGCAGAAGTGAGAGAAGCATTGTTACTGAGGGCAGCGCCGGCCGGGACTCACCAGTCCTGCACGGCGCTGAAGGACTCCTCGTTGGTGATGTCGTACATGAGGACGAAGCCCATGGCCCCTCGGTAGTAGGCTGTGGTGATGGTCCTGTACCTCTCCTGGCCCGCTGTGTCCTGAAAATAACAGTATCAATCTCTTTAAAAATCAGGCAATACATCTTCTGGAAAGAGATCAATGATTCCAAAAACAAGCGTAACAGAGCTTAAGTTGCACCTAAATGCTTAGCTATTTCAGTCTTGCTGTTTGCAATCATTTTCATAGGGAAGCTCTGCAAATTATAAAAATTCTTATTTTTTCTTTTTTTTGGTAAAGATACAGCTCAAAGTACCTTCTACATGTTTCACTCCCATTAGCAGCACCTCACTATAGAAAATAAGATAAAAAGAGAGATTATGCACATCAAAAATCTGTGGCATTTTGTGCAGCTTAAACCAGAGGAGCACGTTAGCTCTGAACTCGTGTATTTACTGTCTGTCTACCAAGCAGAAGTCACTGTGGGGAAAATAAGTCCATGGAAAGGTCTCTGCGATGAAAGCGAGCAGTCTGCTCCCAGTTCACTCAGCTGTAAAGGGAGGCTGAACGCACGTCTTGGTGAGGGTGTCAGAGTCAGATGGACCTGGAGCCCCTGCTTGTCCCTGGGACCGTGGGGACCCGACCCCCTGCGAGTCCAGGGTGCTTGTTAGGGTTGCATGCCGTGACTGTGCAGAGGGTCGGCACACAGAGTGCTCTGTGCATAGCAAACACGGGCTGCTGTTCCTGAGTTTGGGGCGGCCAGGCTACACCGGTGAGAGGCAGACAGCTCCTTACAGACACAGGGTCCTGCAAGGGAGCTATCCTGTGACAGCTCAGTCTGGGTGTCACCAAAATAGCCTGTGTCCGTAACGGAGACTGTGCTGTGTAGCTCGAAAAGCGATTCCTGAGCTCAACCAGCTCCATAGGGTCTGGGACATCCTTGGTTCCCCCTCACCCTGGAGATGGGCTGACTTTCCTCTCCCAGGACTCGGTGCTTTGAACCCAGTTTGCACAGAAGTGTCACCCTGCGCCAGCTTCAGTCTGCACCCTCCCTCTCCCTTTCTTCCAAGGGTGCCTCCTTTGTACACAGGGTGCACCCCAATTACCCAAAGACACAACAGTCCTTGAAGGGAAAGAGAGCGTTCTGGATGGCCCACGAACAGGTTCCTTTATCATCGGAACGAAGGCAGCACTTCCTGGTCGCACGGTGGGGACGGGCGCCTGTTGGGTGCCTTGCTCCTCTCCAGGGACCCTCCTGCTGGGATGCCTACACCCACCGTGGACTAACAGGGGGTCTCAGGACTGCTTACAGCCTCCCTGATGGGTGTCATGCAGTCTATCTGCCTGTGAGTTCAGAGAAGGGTGAGTGAACAAGACTGAAGAAATCTGCAAACAATTTTGGGAGAAGGTGGAGCTGAAGATTAGCTAAGGGGGTGGCTCTTCACAAAGCCAGCTATGACGACAACTGGAGCAGGGACAAGGCTGTCAGCTGAGAAGGTGTCAGTTAGATAATTTAGGAAATAAGGTTCCAAAGGTAGGATGAAAACACAGCATGGTACCCAAATAGCAAAAATGAAGCCAAACCAGGGGTGAAGACCTTTTGGAACACACCCTCTCTGGCAGAGACAGAGGAAAGTGTAGATTTCTCCACATGGAAATGTGGCAATTCCTTGACTATAGAAAAAAAATGCTACAAATAAAATGGAAATAATATATAATCAAATGATAAACTGGGAAATAAAGAGACCAAAGGTTAATATCTTTACTATACTAAGTGGTGTTAGAAATTGTTAAGGAATATGTTAAATATTTTAATTTTTAAAATTATTTGTAAGCAAGCACATAAATAGCTAATTATTTTGTAACAGCTGAGTCCCAAGCATAATAATAGGAAGGCAACGTGGCAGAGCTTCAGGCCTGTATGACAGAAGCCACTCAGCCATTATCTAAACATACGGTGTCTCAAAAAACGTACACGCACTTTGAATGATTATAAAGTCAGTGTTTATTAACATACGGTTCATTTTCAAAATTAAGTGAGTTATCAGCTGTTAAACTGTGTACACATTTTTGGGGGACACCCTATATTTTTTTGGACTTTGCTTGGTATTTTATAAATATGAAGGTATAGATATTAGAGAAAACATGGGTATCATAAACTGCATGTAATTGGGACAAATACACAAATTCATTAGGCAGAAAGAAGCCAGCCTTGAGCTTATTTGGATAGTCTCGGATATGCACTGAATTTAATTCTGTTAACTGTATATCCAACTGTGAACTAAAGAAGAGAGTTAGAGGACAAGTTCCTAAGGGCCGTGTTTAGAAAACAAGGTATAATCAGAGACTCTGAAGTATATTTCAGCCCTTATAACTAGTCAGTCTATTTTAAAACCTTTCCAAAAATTAAAAAAAAATAAAAATAAAACCTTTTCAGGTTTGACTTGAGTTCAGATGTCCCTGTTACCTATAAATCTACCTCTTTATTTCTATTGTTAACTAACTTTAAATGGCTTTCTTCTTCTCCTGGTAAAATATATTTTGGGCATAAATTGAACAGCGTTCTTACAAGGCAAGGACCCCACTCCTGCTGCCCTCTCCATACGACAGCCACTTGCCCTGCTCCCTCAACAGGAGGAAACAGCCAGGAGCGTGGAGCTGGGGCCCAAAGGTGACCAGCCGCCCGTCAGGCGCGTCTTTAGTGGCTGCTGAACAGTGCGCTGGGACTAGGACCCTTTCCTCCTGTCCTCTCCCAGCGATGGCTTCCCTCTCACAAGGTGTTGATTTTATTCTGACAGTAAAGAACTAGTCCCGGTGCTATAAACACATCGACTCCACAAGGAGTATAATTAGGCTCTGGCAGCAGAAATCAGGTCCCGCTGTGTCATGGTTGAAACGTTACAGGAAGCCACAGGCAGGACAGCCGTCACGTATCACAGTTTAGAAACAGGGAGGGGGGCAAAAAAAGCTTTGAATAAAAAAATAAAATAGAAGCTTCTAGAAGCACTTAGGGCACAGCAGGGGCAGGACCTTCATTCTGACTTAACCCCAAAACCACCACCTGACTGGAGGTGGCAGTCACGTGGACGCTCTTGGGGAGAAGCAGCACCGAGCGGGGAGGCGAGGGGCAAACGCAGAGGACACGTCCTCCCCAAAGGCTGAGGGGGGACACCGGGGGCTGTGTCGGTTTTGGGCAGCGAAACAATTTCGGGGTTACAAGCTCGTTAGCATTTTCTCTCTGGTGTCAGAAAGAAAAGAAGTCAGAAGCCTTCACCACACTGGACACTGACTAATGAGGACAGAAGGTTACAATGAAAGAAAAGAACATTTTATAATGGCAGCTGCCGCTGACAGGAGCAAGCATGAGCAGCCGAGGTCACTGGCCCGAGTGGTCCCTCTTCTTAATTTGCTCAGAATGACTCAGACCCTGGTTTGCCTTCCTCCTGCCCAGCTGATGCTACCAACCTGGACACCTGCTGATTTTCTACACAGAAAATGAGGGGTAAAAATATGCTGGGGGAAAAAAGCTTCCTCTGGTGAAAGCTAGCTCTCGTCTCCCTCTAAGAAAAATAAAATCACTTCAGTTGGTTTAAATATTTTGATTTCTCAGTCAGGTTTTTAGAAGAAATTTTTGGCTTTAATGGTAGGTTTGATTAGCAAATACTTGACTATCTGTCAAGAAAAGAGCTGTGAGATGGGAAACATGAGCAGCTTGATATGTAGTAGCTAGGAACATTTTCAGTTTGAATTTTGGCATTTTGTCTTTGTTTTTGCCTTGAATTTTTTTCTCTGATAAAACATTTTACTTTTTAACTGTATGTACTGCATTTCCAAACCCTTCGGAGCTCACGCAGAGATAAGATGCAGTTTGAATGCTGAAGAAGTAGCTTTCATTTGTAGGGTCTGGGCTATATTGTAATTTGTTGGGGTTTTTTTTGTTTGTTTGTTTTGGTGGTTACTTTTCTCTGTATTGGATTAAATGGAAAATAGAAGTAACCATTAGGAAAGGAACATAATTCAAATAATATCACCACAATCAAAACACACTTACTGAATGTCTAGACGGAGAAAAATATATCGAAGGCAGACAACCCAGGCATAGGATAAAGTAGGTAATTTTATAGTTGGAGAAAACAAACCAAGCACATTACTGTTGACCGATCAGCAAAAGTAACTTAAATAAGCTAAAGGAAACACTATGTAACAACCCAAAGAGGAAGCGACAGATGAGGTTGAGAAGATTGCAACATAAGACTAACACATACTTCAGCCAGTGACTTTCCAACTGCACAAGACATGAACTGAAATAACCCCTGGTCACTTAGCATTCAAGCCAAGAGTGATCCCTTAACCTCTACTCTGCTGCTTTTTACCTGTAGGAATCATTTTGAATTATCAAAGATGAACTTATGCTCAATATCTTGACTATATGATGACTGATTCGTTTATTCATTCATTCAATAAACATTTCGTGAATGTCTATTACTAGTTAAGGGCTGTGATAGGTATGTGCTAAATTCACTTTATTCTAGACATATTTTTGTATATTTTAAAATTCTACAAATAGAAGCATTTCATTAATCAGAATATTATGTTCCCTACATGTCTACGAAAGATTCGGTAAAACTGTGAAAATATCATTAATAAGAAACAGAATAACAATTTAAAATAGCAATAGATAGCATACCATTGGCTCAGTGATGAGGTTGTTGGATCAGAGTCACTATTATGGGTTCCATTGTGTTTCCCCAAAACGTTATGCTGGGCCCTAACCCCCAGAACCTGAATGTGACCTGATTTAGAAACAGGGTCTTGGCAGATGGAGACAGCTGAGTTCATACTGGATCAGGGTGGCCCTGATCCTATGACTAGAGTCCCTTTAAGAAGAGAAAACACACACAGACACACGGAGGTCACATCATGGCAAAGGCAGAGACTCCAACGGTGCAGCCACAAGCCAAGGGCACCAAGGACAGCTGGCCGCCACCGGGAGCTGGGACAGAGGACGGAACCAATCCTGCCCCGTGCCTGCCGCCACCTTAACGTAGGGTTTCCAGCTTCCAGACTGCAAGTCAATAAATGTCTGTAACTTTAATCCACC